GACGTCTGGATGCGGAGCTGAACCTATTCTAGTTTTACGGTCGGCTGCTGAAGTTTGTTCTTTCCCCATCTCTGCACCCTTTAGGGACTAGCTACGGCACTTTTTCAACGAAGCGACAACTCGGCTTATTGAGATAAACAACTTTACTCCATGTTAAGAAGCAATCGCATTTACTGCCTACGTTCAGCCATCTGATTTCCCAAAAGGTAGGTACGCATCCCAGGTAGTCTTTTATTACTATAGGTCTTCTCAAGATTCTTACATTCCGTAGATGCCGCCTAAAGGAAGACATGGGAGAGTCATTACTGAAGATGAGCTTGCTCAAGCGTCGAGATTTGGAGAGTTTGTTCCTGTCTACAAGGTCGATTCAACAACTATTGTCAAAACTGGCGACTCTGTCCGATCAGCTGAAGCGGCCGCCATGAAATTGGTCCGTTCGAAAACGAATATCCCGGTGCCTGAAGTCTGGAACACATATATCGATCCTATCACAGGCCATACGCGGATTGTGATGGAGTTCATTCAGGGTGACTGCCTGAAGGATGTTTGGGACAAGTATACCCCTGAAGACAAAGAGCGCGTTATCGATCAATTACGCGAAATGTTCTCAGAGCTTCGCCATCTAAAAGGCTCGTTCATAGGATCTATAGATGGAACAGCTTGCGAAGATCCAATATTTGAGGAGGATCTTGGTGCGTATGGCCCTTACAACGACGAGGCTGCCTTCAACGAGGGCATCGTCACAGCGCTCGAAAATACCTTATCGAGTGGTTGGGTAAGCACTGTCTGCGACATGGTTTGCAGCTTGAAAGACCACGAGATTGTGATGACACACGGTGACTTTTCCCCAAGGAATATCCTGGTTCAAGGCACCAAAGTAGTCGCGGTATTAGACTGGGAGATGGCTGGCTATTATCCTGAGTATTGGGAATATGTGAAAGCGTTGTACCGGCCAGCGTGGGAGGATGACTGGATCAAAAGTGGGACTGTAAACAAGGTTCTAAAGCCTTACCTCCCTGAGCTGGCTATACTCCTGCATGTCAATAGTGTGGGAGCATGGTGATTAACTCACGCCAATAGTAAGACTTCAAAGACGATAATAGAGGTCCTTAAGGTAGAGTAAATAATAGTGTTAAATATATTAGTACTATTATAGACTAGCCTTAAGGTAGAAAACAATAAGCGTTACTAATAGCATATAGTATATT